CCCCCCAAATTGGTGATCCATCCCTGCTTCCTGAGACAGAGAATTTCATAGTTAACTGTGTGCTGTGTGGAGAAATACTTTTATTGCCTGAACTGAATGTTGGCCTTTGCACAGTCAATCAATCAATCAATCAATCAATCAATCATTGGTCCTGCCCAGACTCTGAATGCAAATGTAACTAAATTTCACTCCCATAAGTGCACAGCGGAGTCTCTTTCGAGGAGGCCATCGGGGCCAAGCTATTCTTCCCACTTGAGGTGGAAACACCTCCTCCTCTGCTGTGCTGAATCCCCGTAGTGGGAGAGGAAAGCCGAGTCGTAAATAAAGAGAACCCCACTTGCAGGTTAAATCTATTTCAGGCTGTTCATACGAGAGCTCCCTGGACTTTCTTCAACTTGGGTTAACAGCGAAGCGCCTCAGCAGACACAAAGCTTCCAGGCTGCTCTCAGTTCGCACTGAGAGATTTCTGCATCTTTTAAAAGCCGGCACTGACTGCCAGAACTGTTTCCCGTAACAGGCACTGTCCCTGTAAGGTTCAAGCTGGGCAGACACCCCTCCACCCCCCCCCACACACACACACTGGCTGAGATCTCACAAGGACTCTCCACCTGAGTCTCCTCCGGAGGCAAACCCCAGCTGTCTCCACAATGCCTTTAAATCATAAAGTTGTGCAGAGTACGAGAAGTCTGGTCTGTTTTGCAGACCCCGCAGGTGAGGGCGGTCCCCGTTCCACATGTTTGTTCCTTTGTGATGCACACACTGGTGTCTGTGTACGTGATGGAGACAGAGCAGAAGTGAAAGGGAGAAGACCTGGGTGAGACGGGGAGAGAGACCCCGTCCGGTCCTGGAAGAATAACTTGGAGGGAGGGCCAGCATTCCCCCATGCATTATCTCTCGTTGCCATGGCAGTGGTAATATTATTAGCCTCCACTGACGCGAGTTGCTGTATCTGCACTGTATTGGGGCTCCGTCGGAACGGCGGGAACTCCTTGTGGTCACGTTTCGCCTCCGGAGCAGGGGCTCCGTGCCCCCCTTCCAGGGGTGGAGTCCGGGGGGGCGGTGCCTGCGGAGGGAGGCGAGTTCCAGCAGGTGCCCCTGGAATGGCGCTCACTGTCCACCTGCCCACGCGCCCCCTTCCCCTTCGGTGCCTGTGCCAGATGCTCCATTGTAAGCCCTGCAGGGCGGAGTTCAGGGCTTGGTGCTTGTCAGCGGTGCCGGTTAACATGGGCTCCGTGGCGTGTTGTCATAATGCTTGGGGTGGCCAGCAGGGCTGCTCCCGGGTGAGTGGGGGTGGCAGGGGCTGCTCTCCGCCATCCTTCCCAGCCGCTCCGCCACTGCCGCCTCCTGGCTGCCACCGACTCGCTCAGCAGGCGAGCGCCAGGCAGTGTGGAGGCCGGGCACTGCCACGAGGAATTCAAACACAGCTGCAGGGGCCAGGCGGTGCGCCCTGGGGAGCTGTCCTGACCGACCATGCCAGTCTGGCACTGGCCTGGCTCACCTCGCTCCTGCTGGCCGCTCACTCCCCGTAGGCAATTAGAGATGTCCCCTGCTAGGGCTGTTCTTTATCTCCCTTTAATGGTTTGTTTTTGAATATGACACAATACATGCATCAAAAGCTGCAGCAAAAAGCTGCTGCAAAGGATGGCATGTGAATGTTTCAATTAAATTAAAATAAGATTAATTAAATATACATTTTCAGAACTTTTTATTTTATGCTTTGTTGTATTTCTTAAATGTTAAGCATAATAGGGCTGGCTAAAGACATTTTTCTGCTTGAGGCAATAATCTATCTATCTATCAATCATATGTATATACTGCCTTTTTTCCTTTCAAAGAATTAAAGATGGTTTACATAATTTCCCCCCTCCTCTCAATAGCAGCAACCCGATGAGGCACGTTGGACTCACAGTCTGCCACTGGCCCAAACTAACTGTTAGCTCAAGTGGAAACTAGGATCCAGAGCACTCTCAGTGCAATGACTGGATGCACACAACATGATAAACTATAGTGGTGTATAAACCAAAGATGGCTAGTTTGTACGAATACTGCCAGAGCGGGGTGGTGTGACTTGGTGTCCTGCAACAGCAGAAGGTGGACCTGATGGCCTTCATGGCCCCTTCCAGCTCTACTATTCTATGTTCTATGAAGGGGAAAACCTGCCTAAAACCAGGAAAGCACCTGATGGCAGCCAGCGAGGTGGGGGGGGGGGCTGTCCTTTGCACAGGAAGGTGGTCACTCTGAGATTAGTCTCACTCGGGGTGTGCTTCTCTGTCCCTCCCCAGACAAGCAGCAAGAGGTGGAAATCCCATCCTCTGCCCCTAAGAAGAAAGCGAAGGCGAAAAAGAAGCACCTCATGTCCCGGATCAGCGGCATCAAGAAGGTGTCGCACAGCCACGCCATCACCCGCCTCTCCATCCCTCGCTTTGGGGTCAAGACAGACCAGGAGGGGCTGCTAGCCAAGGTGAGGATATGCAGAAGACTCTTGGGGGGGGGGACATGCCCCCCCAGGCATACAGAAGGGGGCACGGAGCTCTTCCCCTTCTCAAAAATCAAGTTTCTAGTTCTCTGGCCAAAAAGATGAGGTACTAAAGGCAGAGGCCACTTGGAATGGCATGTGCAAGCATCTTTGAAGGCTTGGAGATGAGTTGGGGGCTTTTGGGGGTGGAGAAAAGGGTTAGTCCCTGTGCTGGTGGGATACTCTCCCTTTTGGGCTCCTGCAAAACCTTTTATCAGAGTACAATAATTATATTCAGAATGCAATAATTGCTCAGATTAAGCAATGCAAGGCCTGTGAGAAGCTGGGAGTAAACGGAAGGGGAAGGAAGGAAGGACGGAAAGAAGTGGCTTGGAACCGAGAACAGGGATGGAAGGAAGAGGGCTGAGACGAGAGAGGAGCTGGGACTCTTCCCCTGACCCAGTGGCCATGCAGCTCAGCCTGGTGCGAGTTGTCAGCCAAGGCATCTGGAGGGCCCCTTCACAGACCCTAATCTAAACATGGCATGGCATGAATGAGCCACATGGGGGCTGCCACCTCCAGTGGGAGCAGAAGCGCCACCTGAATGCAGAACTCTGGCTTGGCTCTCCCCTGACAAAGAGAAATGCAAAGGATAATCGCATCCCCTTTCATTTCTGCCCAGTGATGCAGCCCAGGCAGGGAGCCCCGAGTTCCAATCTGTATTTCTCACACAGATGATTCAGTTAATGCCCTGTGGCTCAGCCACAGAGGAGGGTCCTAAGGGTTTCCATGCAAGGCGGTTAACACACTGCTTCTGCTTGAGGCTCCACACATGCCACCAGGGGCTCTTCCTTTCTTGCTTTCCCCCTAGGCGGCACGGTGGCACAGCAGGCACACAAGTGGAAAAAGCATTTTATTTTGCTTTATTTGTTTTATTTATGGTTTATTCTATCACATTTTCTCTGCTCTAAACAAAACTTAACAAACACTCACCGGAAGTATTCTTCAGAAGCAGAAGTGAAGCGGGAGCCTCCTGAAATCATCTCAAGCGTCTGTAAACAACAGCCGAGCAGGGAAATGATGAGAACGCAAGAGCTACCTTCTGTAGCAACGTTCTTCTGCTCAGCCAGTGCTCACCACACTGCTGGGTAAAAAAAGGCACATCACATGAGAAAGTGGGGGAGGGAGCAGGAAAAATTTAAGCAGGGAGGGTGCGGTGTCCTGCTCATTCTCTCGCATCTGGGGCAGGGGCGGGGAGATGGCCATCCAGCTGCCCTGTGCTATCTCTTGCACCTCATCCGTTCACTGGCCCACCGCCGGCGCATGTCAGGAAATCCAGATGTTGACAAGTGGTCTTGGGTCTGCCTGCCTGGGGGGGGGGGGCAGCTTTCCAGCACCGTTCAGGGTGATGGCCCCCCTTCTTTCCCTCCATGCCCCCCTTTTAGGAACTGAAAAATTTGAACCGCTGGGGTATGGACATATTCAGGGTCGCGGAGCACTCCGGACAACGTCCTCTGACTGTCCTTATGTACGTCATCTTCCAGGTGAGCCCAGCACTGCCTCGCAGGAGTGGCTGCTGTGCGGGGGCGGCCGTGTGGCTCTTGGTCTGGCCGCGTAGAGGCGTCTGAAGGGGCTCGGTGGCCCCTTTAAGTGGGGCTGCTTAAAAGCGGACGTAGCTGACAAAAAGTTAGATGTGTTAAATACTGAAATGCCAAAGACACCAGGCAGACGCCGCTGCTGCGTGTCTTGCGGCCACTGCTCTCCGGGCTGGTCCTTCCCAGTCCTGCCACGCTGTCCCCGTGCTTGTCGCCTCTGAAAGGGCTCTGCTCAGGCCGGCAAGGCGGACGCTGCCATGCGGTGTCATTTGGGTCCTTTCCCTTCACTCATCCCTGTACCATGGCCACCACGAGGATCTCCCAAGGGACATTTGGCTCTTTCACATTTGCCAAAGCCCCCGAGACCCTGAAGAGCTGAAAGAGACCCCCTCCCTGCTACAACCTTAAGGACATTTCAGTAAGGACAAGGCACTCTGTCCCATGCTCGTCCGAAATGACCTCTTCCACACTCTGCTGTTTGCAGGAAAGGGACCTGCTGAAAATTTTCCACATTCCTGCGGACACTTTCATCACCTTCCTGATGACGCTGGAGGACCACTACCACCGCGAAGTTGCCTACCACAACAACCTCCACGCGGCTGATGTGGTACAGTCCACCCACGCCCTGCTCGCCATGCCAGCTCTGGATGTGAGCAGGGGTTCTGGGCGTGGGAGGCTTCTGGCTTGTCCTCACATGGCGGCCAGTTTGGAAGTGTGGGGCACACAGCTGGCAGTATTTTGCTGGCCCCACGGTTGGAAACCATGTCCCTGGTTGCTGGAGGGGATCTGGGAATCATTGACACCCCTTCCCTGAGATTTGGAGATGAAGGGCCAGGTTCAGGCAGCCCGTACCAAATGGCTTGTTTTGCTTTTGCAAATGGCTTTGAGTCCTGTTGCTGTAGAAAAGTGGCATAAAATATAAACCTGATCTAAAAACAAATCAGGTTCTCTGCCAATCCATGGCAACAAACCAATTTTGTAAGCTTTCATCTGCCTTTTTGCCAAAGAATCTGGATTGCTTGCTTGGTACTTGGCCTTTGCAAAGTACTTTTCAACTAGATGCAATATCTTGCCGGGAAGATTCATGACTGCCGCCTACACCAAGGATTGTGGCTAAGCTCAGCAGGAAAGAGTGGTCTGAGGGCTGGGCAAAGGCATTTGCACCCTGTTCCTAAAAAATTCTGGGTGCTGCCCCCTGAGCATTGCAGCCATCACACCGCTCTCGGGGCGAGCGGCAAAGACAGCGAGCGCGCTTCCCTTCCCTTGCCCACTCCTGCACTTTGGTTCCTCCTGCAGGCCATCTTCAGCGACCTGGAGATCTTGGCCGTCATCTTTGCGGCTGCCATCCATGATGTTGACCACCCCGGCGTCTCCAACCAGTTCCTGATCAACACCAGTGCGTGAACTGCATTAGCCGCTTCCCAGCTTCCCCTGCCTCCAGCCCTGTACTCTCCTTTGCATCGGTTCACCCCTCGCCCCCCCCCCCACGGGACACAGACCTGCCCCCTTGCTACACCCACCAGTGGAGGATGCGGGAGGAGCACTGAGGGAAAGTTGTGGCCGTGGGGGCCTGGCTTGGCTGGGCAATTCCTGGGCAGCCTCCTTACATGGAGCCTGAACGTGCGTCAAGGAGCCAGAGAGCTCCTGGAGTGGCACGCAGTACAATGAAATAAACTGAAATCAATAGAACGAGGCCCTATCAATTAAACTAAATCAAGCCATCAATAAAACAAGCAGTAAGTGAAGACAAGAAAGTGAAGTACGAACACCAGGGAGAACAAACCCCTCAGAGCAACTTTTCGCAGTGTCGGAAGGATAACAGAATGCCACGAGCCTCCCTGGAGACTGCAGTCCATATGCAAAGTTCCACTGATTAAAAATAGACCTTCTCCCCAGTCACCAGTCTCTGCAGACGGGGCAGCCGCATGGTCCACCCACGTGTTAAACTTGCAGAGTGAAGCTCTATGCTCTGTGAAGGCAGCCCAGCCAAGCAGATGCTGGGGATCACTGCCCCCCACTTCTAACCTGGGCAGCACATCATGCTGGTGCCCTGGTTCCATGCCCTGTGCCCACGCCCTTTCCACTGCTCCGGCCACCCCACTGAGGGTCTCTTTCCTCGCCAGATTCTGAGCTGGCCCTGATGTACAACGACATATCAGTGTTGGAGAATCACCACTTGGCCGTGGGCTTCAAGCTCCTGCAGGAGGAGAACTGCAACATCTTCCAGAACTTCTCCAATAAGGAGCGCCTGTCCGTCCGCAAGATGGTGATCGACATGGTGAGGAGTGCTGCGCACGGGCATTTCCCCCGGGCGGGAGCCTTCAGCCTTGACAGCCACTCCCTGGCCTGAGCTTCTGCACCCCAATTCAAATGGGGTGCCGCTCCTTGAGCCCAGACCTGGGTTCCAGACCAGTGTCTGGCAGGCAGAGGCCACAGACTCTGCGCTGTCGCCGAGTTAATCCGATCCTTCATCAACAGGGCCATCCCTGCTCACCCATTTTTTCCATCTCTGCCTGGAAACTGATAACTTAGTTCCCTGATCTGCCTCTTCTTTCTTGTTCTGCTGGTGTCCTTATTAGCATTAAGAATTGTTTTATATAGTTCAAAGCACGCAAAAAAGCCATATTTTTGTGGATTTGGACAGGTCCTGGCCACAGATATGTCCAAACACATGAACCTCCTGGCTGATCTGAAGACCATGGTGGAGACCAAGAAGGTCACCAACTTGGGTGTCCTGCTTTTGGACAACTACTCAGACCGCATCCAGGTGAGGTCTTGAGGGAAAGGGATAAAAGGGGAAGTGGCAGAATTGACGTCCAAGCTTGAAAGCGAGAGAATACTCAGCAGTGCGGCAAAGCCAGTGCCAGGCTCAGAAAGATACAGTCTACATGGAGAGCATGAAATTCAGTTTTGTTTGCAGTGGGATTGTTCAGGCAGGACCAGGCGGGCAGAGGGGCACAGACAGAGGGGCATGTCGGCAGGCAGAACCACACTTTCTCTGCTGTACCAAAGCGTCAAATAGCAGTGGTGCCCCTCTGCTTTTCGCGTGCCTCTGGTGTGCAACGGGTCGGCAGCACTGGCGAGTTAAATGGCAAACTGAGTAACCTCAAGAGGCATTGGAATGCAGCCTGGAGATTGCCCTGGGTGTGGGCGCAAGGGGGGGCATTGCCTTCTCCACCTGCCTGCCTGCCTGCCTGCCTGCCTGCCTGCCATCCAGAGGCACCTGGGGCAAGGCATACCACTCGCTCTCCCCCCTTGCAGGTCTTGCAGAACGTTTTGCACTGTGCCGACCTGAGCAACCCGACCAAACCACTGCCGCTGTACCGCAAGTGGACAGAGCTCATCATGAAGGAGTTCTTTGGGCAGGGAGACATTGAGCGGGAGAGAGGAATGGAAATCAGCCCCATGTGCGACAAGCACACCGCCTCCATTGAGAAATCCCAGGTGAGTTCAGCTGGGGGGTGGAAGCAGCAGGGAGCAGAATCCAGCTGGGGGCTTCCCCGCTGCCCGACCCCTTGCTGCCCTGCTGGCCCTCTTCTGCAAGAGCTGGGTCCCATTGATCCTGCTTGCACAGTGAACATGTGGGGTGCAGGAGAATCGGTGGGGTGTGTGCACGCCTGGGCTGCACCCTTTCTAAGCCCACAGGAATCAGGTTGGATGTTACACGGATGCGAACTACCCAGCAAGGAAGTTTTTTCTGCTTTAGACCAGGGGTGGCGCTCCAGGGAATTAGCTGGGATCAGGCAGCATCAGTCTGAAAAGTCCAGACATGGGGAATTCCAGGGAACGGTTTGGTCAGGCGTGGCCAGCAGCTGGCCTGCAACTCCCTCCTTCATTGTTTGCTATACTGGCAGGGATGATGGGAACCTGTGAAGGAACAAGTATTCCTCACAAGGGAAACATCGTCCATTTTCTGGCACCCAGATGTTGTTCTGGTACTCTGTGGAACGGGAGGCTTTTAAGCCCTAGCTTCCTGGGCACCCCTCCTTCACCTGAGGACTGGTCGTCTTGTGGGCAGAGGAGTCCTATTCCTGAGGCAGCTATTTTGCTCTCTAGTTGCTTGGCTTTCGAGGGGCTGAGGGGTTTATGGCTGCACCTTCCTCCACAGCAGCTTCTCTGCTGAGGTGCTCTCAGTTCTCTCCCAAAGAGGCCTCCCCAGGTGTGCAAGGTGCAAAGATTCCCAAAAAGCGGTGGGGAGGTTCTGTTGAGTTTTTAAGCACTTGGGTGCTGGAGCTGCACACCGGGAGATCCCACAGGGCGTGATGGGAAGCAGACAGAACATTGCGGGACCCGTGGGCAGAATCGTTTTGGAAAGGCAAGGTTCTTTTTCCTGTGCACAAAGGGCCTTTTTCTAGGCATGCGTTTGGACTGCTTGTGGTGCAGATTTGGAACCCGGATAATGGCATTCCCCTGCTCGTCTCTTCCTACAGGTTGGGTTCATCGACTATGTAGCCCATCCACTCTGGGAGACCTGGGCTGATTTAGTGCATCCAGATGCTCAGGAAATCCTGGATAATCTTGAAGACAACCGGCAATGGTACAAAAGCATGATCCCACGCAGCCCTCCAGCCCCCGCTGATGAGCTGGAGTCTGAGACAGGTGGGGCAGCCTCCAAGAAGTTCCCTTTCCAGGCCACCCTGGAGGAGGAGGGAGAAGAAGCAGAGGCCAAGCCAGAGAAGGTGATCCTGCCAGAGGAGACCAGTGAGTCCGACACCTTGGACACCACCACCGACACCTCCGAATCAGCAAATGAGCCTCTGACCTCCCCCGCGGGCACAGTGGGCAGCCCTCCTCAGAACACCCCCCTCGACCAGGCAGGGGTGTCGAAGGTCAAGAACCGCAGCCTGGCAGCCCAGCCCCCTGAGCCAGCGGGGGCGGGCACTGCAGCACAGGGCGCAACCCCTCTCGATGGGGAAGGAGATGCCACCTGTGTGCCCCTGCGCCCATAGAGGGGGCCGACACTGCCCCCACTCAGCCCTGCTGGGACTGGGAGTGTGGAAGTGTCCAGGAATCCACCCCAAGCCTTGTTCCCGGAGGACACCACAGTGGACTTCTCCCCACCACAAACCTGCAAGCGGGTTCCAAGTCAGGGCGCTGAGCCTTGCCTGGCAGCTAACACCGGACCCTCGTGCCTTCCTGCCTGGACTCCCATCCTCTGGGCGGCACCAGGATCTGTGGTCCCCCTCTACTCATTTGGCTTCAGTATGGACATAGGAGCTGCCTTAATTTCAGGCGTTCTCCCGGGGGAGAAGGGGGGCTGCATGGCCTTGCACACCAAAGCCCCTCCGGCTCCATTCCCGGCGCCTCTGCTCCCAAAGGCCTCTTGAGTCCCTGGGGCTGGGAAGGCTCCTTCCTCCAACTGAGAAGCCAGGAAGCCATCGCAGTCTGGAGGAGACGCTGGGCTGCGTGAGCCCCTGGTTTATGTCACGTGGCCCAGACCTCCTCTGCCTTTGCTGGCTCCATCTGGGGAAGGCTCAGTGAACTCTCGGGTGGCGGTTTTGGATCGCCAGTCCGGGACTTGATGGACCAGTTCCTGGACTGGGTAGAAGCAAACACCAACCGAATCCGCTGCCAGACGGGAGTCTGCAGAGAAGGTGCCACTCTAGGCACTTGCCTCTGGTTGAATCCATCCATCCATTGTGGTGATGCTCCAGCCATTACTTCGGGATATCAGTCCACCCCAGGGCTTGCTTTTGGCTTCTCCACGTTTGCTGCTAACCACCTGGTGGGCACAGCCTACTGCAAAGATCCTCTTTCATATCTTTCCTCCTCCATGATTGTATTTCTAGGTAGCAATAGCAATGATGGTGATGGTGATGTTAATATTATCTGCCATCTTCTCTATTTTCCCTTGAAAACCCTGTTTAGACAGAGAACACCTGTTACATTATTTTACATTTTCCAGTAAGGAAAAAACTTGGTTTATTTATTTTTGTGCAAGATGTTTGTGTTCTTTCAGCAACCAAAGAATTTATTTTCTGTCTCTCTCTTTTTCTTTAGAAGGCTGGAAAGATGATGCTTATTGTTTTAAAAGATCTTAGAGGAAAAACATTCTTGATGACAGATGATGGATTGATAGTTCTGGAATATTTATTAAACAACCTCCCCACACCTCCAAATGTAAATTTGTTTTAGTAACTGGCACGCAGCTGATTTGAGTTTCCACTGCACAGTTTTGATTCTTTTAAGGAAACAGAACTGTTAACTCAGGAGAAAAATCTTCAGGTGATCATTGGATCCTTCTGACATTTTAACAGTTTTGTTTTTTTCATTTCCTTAGAGTCCATGAAAAGATTGCCCTGCTCCAGTGGGTCCCATTTGGGGGGTGGGGGTCTCTTTGGAATTTCTCAAGTCTCCCTTCCCACTTAAACTCTCCTACAATAGCGACACACAAGACTTTGGCTGGATGTGTGTTTTTAATCTGGGGATTTTTTTTGAAATAACTAATATTTTCCTTTTCAATGGCTTTTAAAAAAGGAGGTGTTATAATCTAGCTTTTTTAAAACCATGCCATTTGATCCTTTTAAACACTGGCACTTTAATATTTGCCTTCTAAACAGAAAAAAATGTTATTAGCAAGCTGCCTTTCAAATATGGAACATTTCTTTAATGCACTATATTCAAACACTGATCAGATGCCAAAGCTTGAGCAGTTCACAACAGTTAAACCCCCCCCCAATGCAACACAGAACAGCACAAAACCTTCCAAAGTAAAGTCAGTGGAATCAGCATAAAAAATCAAGAGCAAAACCACCAACAGGGCAAGAATCTAAAACCAGAACAACACATAGGTACCAGGTGATCCTCTCTGGGGAACCGCTCTCCACAATCGAGGCCACCACTAAAACGGTTTCTGCCGTAGACCACACCTGGCCTTCCCTTAGCCCCATGCTTTGGGCAGGCACATATAGGATCAGATAGGTGATTTTTCCAGGATAAGGGCTAGGCCTTCTAGGTCCCCACTGCCATTCTCTGCACCTACCCCTCTGTCCAGTTCACTTCATGCATTCCTGGAATTCCACTCTCCACAACCCACCCTCTCTGAAAACCGATGGTGATTCGGCTGCTAGAAGGGCACTTGTAAGACTTCTCGCTCCAGCTGGCCACGGCCTTGGTGCAGGCTGCCGCCGTCCCGGAGGAGACCTGTGGCCAGGCAGTGTCCTCTCCCCGGGCAGCTCCTCCCAGAGGACTCGAGCTGCCGTGTGGAGCAGGGTGAGGGTCACTTGTGCCTCTCTGTATACACATTGTGCAGAACACCGGGGGAGATCACTTACATGGAAGGGTGGCAAGATGCAGCAGACCCCACAGAGGTGAATGGGTGAGCAAGGATCACCTGTTGGACTGGGGAACCTCAGCTGGCCCAGGAAGGCTGAGTGACAGGCGGAACCCCAGGGTGGCGTGACTTCACACCGCCGTTGCCTTTTATTTGGTGGAAACACAGAGTTTGTGCAAAGACGCCACTGGCCTGAACAGAACAGAGGTGCCCCTGGCGTCGACTCCTGAAGAAAGGGGGTGCCCGTGTTGCTCTTGGCAAAGCTGACACTTTCAATTTGTTCGGGGGAGGATATTTTCTTGTTGAAAGGAATTTAATGTGGCACTGTTCTTAGAGCGTGAAGTGTAATAGTCCTCACAGTTGTTTTGTTGGTAGAAACTGCTGCTACTGTGAACTGTGTTTAGAAAGGCTGTATATTGTGTGTATTTCTTTCCCCTCCCCACAGCTGTTTGAATTTCAGAAATGCCACTGGGGCTGCATTACCATTTTGTTGTGACATAAATGCCGTAATAATCACTGGGAAGAAGGTTATTGCTTGCTTTTCTGGCATTGAGGGTTCCCTTGGAACAGTAACTATTTCTCTATCTGGATTTTTTTGTCTTTGTAATGTAATTCAGTGCTTTAAAATGTGATTTTAATAAATATATTTAATGTTACAAATCTGCAAGACTTGGAATTGATCTCCTATCCCGAGCTGGTCACCAAGTGGAAGTGCAGAGCAAGTTGGAGTGTAGAGATGTGAGAGGAGAGGGACTGCGTGATTGCATGGGATGAAGGAAGGTGCAGAAAAAGTAGGGAAAGAAATGCTGCTGTGCTGAAACAGGCAGCCAAAGAGATGGCTCAGGGGCCAGCTGGTCCTGGGAAAGAGTCGGGAAAACCCAGGGTGGGTCAAAGCCACATCACCACAGCTGCAGGACATGGAGATGGCTATGCACCAAAGTGATGCGCAGAGAGGTTTGGAACTGCCTCCCAAACCCCACTGGATCTCTAGGTATATGGAAGTGTCATGAACACACACATTTTCAGCATGGTGGAAGGGTGGGCTGCTTGGCAAGGAGCGCAGCACAGGAAGCTTGTCGGATAATTCTTGGAAGACATCTGAGGTTCATGAATACAACAAGTCACTCGCTTCCCTCAGCCCAGTCCTTCCTTTCCTCCCCGCAGATCCATCACTGACAAGCCCAGCTCCAAATGTAAACATTTAATCCCAGAGTGTACAGTCTCCCTCCCATCCCCCCCTTCGCTTGTCCCACAACACCTTCAGTTGCACCTCACCCTCCCCACTTCCCAAATTCTTTGTAGAGCTTTCTGGTTACAATAGTTCGGCTGGATCCACGTGTGGGATCCCTTCTTCCACAGCCACATCTGTTTGTTCCTGACATCAGAGAAGTGGATGTAGTTCTGCGGGGATGCTGGGAATTTTAATGTGTCCAAAAGGTAGAGCACGACACTACATTTTTAAATTTTCTAATCCTGATCCAGATGAGATTTGGGGTGCTCTCAGGCAGCAGGGTCCCTAACATTACCAGGCTGCTATCCTGCTTTTTGTGGTTTCTCTTTTCTGGTGAGGAAAAGGAAGCACTATAGAAAAAAGAATTATAAAAGGCTATTACATGCCCATGCACTGATGGGGACCACTCCTGTGCAGAACTTAAAACGGACCCTGCTATTGCCCTATTTTCAATTGAGCAGGAAATAGTATCTGTAGAAAGTGGGGTCAGGGCATGAGGGTCACAAATCTGCGGAGATCCAGGTTGGTTCCGTACTGGACCTCCTCTCTGGAGTGCCTCTGAGACTGTGCAGAGTGCCTGGCCCCTGTGCTGGTTGCGAGGTATCCGCTCTGGGATGCTCGGGGCTCGCCTACCCTGCAGCCCCAGACCGGGCCTTTTCACGTCTCCCCAGCCCTCGGGAGGGCCAGGCAGCAGGCCCTGCTTGCGGTCTGCGAATTCCCCCGGCGCTCGGCTTTGGAGTCGGCCTGCCCCCTGGTGGCCGCGAGGGGGCCGCACACCCCAGCCAGGAGCGGAATTGCTGGGCGCTCTGCGCCCCCACGCGGCACTCCCTGCACTTGCAGCGCTGCCTCCTGCCCATATCGGAGCTGTCAGTCCCTGCTGCTCCCATGATGCCTCACCACAGTCTATGCTGGCTAGGGCTGATGGGAGTTGTAGGCCAAAAGTCTGGAGGTCCACAAGTTTATTCATTAGATGCATGCATTGGCCTTTTCCTTACATCAGTGGCTTAGATCATTCAATTCAACTCTATCTCATCCCCACAACAACCACCCTGTGAGATAGCAGGGCTGAGAGTCTGCAACTGGCCCAAGGTCCCCCGTTGGCTCCATGGCTGAGTGGGGACTAGAACCCGGATTGCCTAAGTCCCAGCCCTGTGCTCAAACCGCTGCGCTGGGCTTGCCAGGGGTCACCCTGCTGGGTTAGCATTTCCCTTGCCGACTAATTGGGCAGCTTAGTGCACATTCAGGTGGGCACCTTCCTCCCCTGCCGGGTGCGTTGGACTACAACTCCCAACATGCCCCAGCTTTGGGGAATGCTATCCTGGTGAAACATGAACAAACGATGGTGGGGCCTGCACCTGATCGGCTAAAAAGCAATCAATGGGCCAGCAGCCTGTGAGCCAATCCAGATATTTTGGCCTACAACTCCCATCAGCTCCAGGCAGCCA